CAACAGTTATCAGTTTGTGCTTGTTAGCAATACCGTAGGTTTAATGATACTTTACATCGTGATGACGTGTTTCTGATTTGTCCTTGATATCCAAGCTTGTACAACTCTTCTTGCGATAGAAAAAATTAGTAGGTGCAACTTCCCCATTGCGCTTTCTATTTACAAATTATTATTATTAATTTATATTTTCTTTTATATATAAAAGGAGTAGATGTTTTTTTTTTAATTATATTAGAGTTTTATATTGTTTTGGCATTTGTTTTCAAGTAGTGGCCATTAACATTTCATACACGCGAGAGTATCGCGCGGTTACACGCATGGTACCGTTAACAGTAAACGTTCTAAAACGTATTTGATTTCATTACACGTTCTTTTCACTTCTGATCACATAAAGTGTGAATTATAGCGAAATACTTTTTTCTCTACGTAGATATAATTGCGCGCTCGACAACCAGATTTAAATAACGCGCGTCCGGAAGTCGTTAAGTTCCAGATTTTTATATCATAAACATAGTTTTAAGTGTTCTATTAATAAAGAGTTTAAATATTTTAGTTTAAATATTTTCGAAGATAAGCAATTTTTTTCGAGGAAACTTTAGATCGAAGAATTTTCCAAAATAATAATATTTTATTAACATGTAAAATTCAAACTTATTATAATTCTTTTTTTTTTTATTTTTACAAATTTAAAGAGAGATAAAAGTCGTTTCAAAAAATCGAATAATTCTATAATTTTAACAATTTTGCAAATATCTACCTCAGATTCGAAAAAATACAATCTAAATCACAGTCATATCATTAAATTATGTCGATTTAATTAATCTCGCGATTAGAAGGAAACAGAAAAAAAAACTCGATAAAATAAATTTTCCAAATTGTGATTGATTTTCCTCGAATAGATCGCTTCGTATTCTCTCGCAATAGCATTTCCCTACCGTTATACAAGTGAAACACGTCCGTGGAATATAAATGAGCCTAGCGATCATGTGGCAAACAGCGTACGATTGGTACACGAAATTCTTTGGACTTCGAAATTCTTGAGGAAACGCCTTTACGGGTACGCTCGTGAATGCTCTTACATAATGTCTTATGTACTCCTCTGGCACGATCGAATCGAATGGTCTACTACGGAATGGAATGGAACGGAACGGAATGGAATGGAATGGAATGAAATGAAATCGCTTGGAATGGGGCCACTCACTCTCGGCTCTAAACCATTCGATCACCCGTATCGCTAGAAAAGGACTGGTAAGTGCTCCCTAAAAGGAAGAGAGAGAGAGAAAGAGAGAGAGAAAAAAAGCAAAAAGAGAGGGAAAAAAATGAAAAAAAGAAAAAAAAAATCTCTTCTTACGACCATTTGGTGAACCGTGTAATTTGGCTACTCGAAGCGATTGGATTGTCGACCACGCTCGATTTCTCGAGTTCAAACAATTTATGTGTTATTTAAATGTTAGATAATCATTTTTTAACCGATCCATGCGAACGTTTCTCTCTTAATTGGAACTTACCAACGTGTAATTTACTTTTTCCCAATCGAATATTGCGCCACTCGGTTTCTGAATGAATCGATACGTTTCTCATTGATTTCTTGCACGCGATAAGAACGTCAAATAAAATTTTATCTACACTACTGTAAATACAATTTTTACTCCACGTACGTTTTCCAATTTCACTTTCTAATTTCATTTTTGACCTTTTATCTTTTAACAGATCTGTTGGATTATACTGTGTATACATATATATATATATATATAAATTATTCTTATTTATCCAATTTAATAATAAAATTTAATACTTATTATTAATCATGATAAATATATAAATATCGACAAAGAAATGAAGACTGTCAAAAAGAAGTTTGTTCCTTCGTTCTCGTTTCACTCTCTTCTAAGAGTCTTAACCTTAACGATCAATGCAACTCTGTGCTCACTCTGTTGACACGATTTTTCAAATCGACAAACGTCCCTGAAAACGATTGAATGAAAGAGAAGTTATCGCTGGTCCGCGAACAGGAAGAACGCAGTCCCTGCGTGTAAATGGAGAAAGATGGAAACGCACGCGCGCTTGTTACGTAGCGATGATAAATCAGCGTTTTGCCGCGTTTACGGTGTATCGCGGGCACAGGGATGAAAGGAGCAACAAACGGCTGTGCACGCGTTGAAAGTATAGCCAAACCGGCTCGCGTGACACGATGAATCGTGTGCCTACTTGAATCTACGATGACATTAAACGTCCCGCCATTTACTAGCGGATTGGCGCGAATGCGAAATGCTGATGGTGGGATCTGTACGCGTCAGAAGACGTTGATTTACGTATATTTAATCCGAATAAAAATAATCTTGATTATTAATTCGATGGCTTTGTATTAAATTATTTATAATCCAAATATTTGCATTTAGCGAGCAAAAATATATTTTTTTTTTTTCTCCTTGAACGAAGGATCGTTTCGTTCAACGTCATTTGACAAATATTGACACTTGGAAAAAGATACAAAAGAAGAAAAAAGTATCAATGACTTCGTTGCATCAAAACAGCCATCTTTTTTTTTTGTTGAAGGATTATCTGAGAGAAATCAAAATAAAGTAGAAGCAATGAAGAAATATCAAAATAAAATCATTTCCTTTTTTTTGTATAGTATTCCTTACACCACATCGAGAATTATCTCCACGGATTCTTACAAATGTGGTAATCAGCTCGCGCGATATCCAATGGATATACGTGGCTTAAAGTTCGGCACGCATCGCCGTACCCAACAAATTGACGGACAAAATGAAGCGTGCGTTTGACGCTGATTTATCGTGCCATTGTGAGAACGTCGAACGCTTCGAACATTGGATGACGTCGTAACTTATTCTATCGGAGAGAGCGAACGCGTCTAAGGCGTGTACGCGTTGATTCTTGAATCGCGAACGGGGTGAAGCGCAAAAAGTGCGACGAGGAGATTATAAATCGAGCGTGGGTCACGTGGAAAAAGTAAATCGACCGGGTAAAATGTAGGGAGAAACAGCGAGGAGGGTGGAAGCGTGTTGATAAGTTCATCCTGCGCGCTTTTCTTCGACGACGTGGAAAATATTGAATTTTCTTCACTGTGTAGAAAGATGAAGGGGATGATAAGTTTTATCGAACGATAAGAATTCAAATCGAAGAGAACAAGATGAATTTCGTTCTTCGATTTTATAATTATTTCTAAAGGGTAAAGGATAATTGCGTTTATATCAGAAACACGAATTCAATATGGATAAAAATTGTTAATTATGAATATTTTGAAATTGAATATTTAAAGCTATAATAAGATTTTTATTTAGAAAATGACGGAAATGTTCTAAGTTTCGATCAAGTTTCAATTATATTGGAAAATTGTAAACTCACCCTTAAACAGTGAAAGATAACTGTTACAAAAATTATTTCAAATACCTACTGCATAAGGAATTTTCAACTTTCCTCCAAATAAAAACGATGTCACGTGCCATGCGATATGCACCTTTAGATTTATATTAATTTTTAAATGAAGCCCAACATTTCAAGGCTGAGGTATAAATAGGCAAATAATTTAATTACACGGTGAGAGTAAATATAGCAATGAGATTGGGAGCATCACGATTGCACGCGAACTTGCGTTCGAAATGTAATTAAGCATAAAACACGCGAGACTGTGAATGTGTCAAGTTTGTGGAGAATAATTTATCGTGGCCGTCCCGTTTCCTTTGCCAGGACATAAAACGCGATCGAAGACGTATTTCTTAATTTGGTTTGTAATTTGCGATTTAAAATTCCCCGGCGCTCGGCCGGGATATTATAAATACCAATAAACGTGTGTTTCGAATTACGTCATAGGGTCGATCGATGGAAAAAAGAAGGAAGTATCGAGAGTCGCCGCAGGTGATCGTCGCCTCGAACACGAGAGAAATTGCGTAATCGACGAGTTTTCATTCTCGTGTGCGTCAAACATTCTTTGCTTACGCGATAATAGCGATCTACTTATACGCTTTTCTTTGAATCTGATTTATGTCGAAAATTTCTTCAAATACGATTAAATTGATTATTATCGATCGACGAATGCTTTATCATTTAAAATGAACTAATTCGATGTTAAATTAATAATTTAAAAATTAATTGAAATAATAATTTGAAGTATATTTTAATGATTAAATAAAAAATAAATTGTGACCAAAATCGAGAAGATAACTATATTAAAAATATTTTGTATTATCAAGTATAAGTAGTATTATCAAGAATAATTTCGTTTCATGTTATTTCCTTTCTCCAATAAAAAAAATATGGATATTTTAAAAATGTACTTTTTTAAACCTCGATTTCTATACGACAGATTTTTGTAATCATAATTGTAACATTAGTATCCTTTGAGCAACGGAAGCAGGTTTGACCAGTTTGACTATCTAGAACTCATCACACTTTCATTCTCTTCTTCTCTTTTTTTTTTTTTGTCCCTCTTCCCTCCTTGAACGTTTCGCAGCGGCGACTTAAGCTCCAGAAAATCGTCGAAATAGTCGATTAAACTTTCAGACAGCGAAGAAGGGTTTTCGAAGGAAGGTTAAGGTATACCGCAGGAGTGGGAGATGAAAGGGTTGCGTAGCGCGGAAGCTCGCCATTATATTCACATTATAATCCCATCAGGGGACTCCTCTGCCTAACTGGACAGCTACGAATAATACGACGTACACGCCTCTACCTTCCATTCCACGTCTATTCGACTGTCCTCAGCTTTCTCCATCCGGCTGCCTCATCTATCCCTTACGAACTTCGTTATTAATTTCGTATTAAACGAAATTTTATAGCGATCGTAAAAAATATGCACTGAATTTAATCTTACGAGGAAGGAAGCGTTGAGAAATTTCTAATATATACTATATTACGTTTATCATATTTATTTTTCAATAAATCAATTTTGCGACAAATTGGAATAAGAAAATGAAATTATATTACTGCATATTTTGTGATATTAAAATTAGAATATATTGATCTTTTATTTCCATGTCAAAGATACAAGAGGATAAAAAGTATAAAAAGTAAAAAAGAAAGTCGAGGCCAATTTATTTATAAATTTTTAATCACGAAATATCTATTTTGCTCTTTACATCATTAAATTCTTTCACATTCTCAATCATCTTTTTTCAACAATCTATATTTTTCCGCAGATTTAAAGTGTCAGATAGATCCACGAAATAATTATCCAGTAGATAATTATTCATATATGGAAAACAAATATTTTGTAAAATATTTTTATGTAAATTTTACGAAAGCTTTACGAGAGTTTAAAATATTGGTATAACAATTCCACGGGTCGAGGCAAGCGAGTTGTGTTAAAGCCCCAGCAGGCATCGAAATTCCACACCGCTTATCTAATCCGAAATCACGGGCAATCAGGGGGAAAGAAACGATGGAGGGCCCGTGTAACCTTCCGTTTCTCTTGTCATCGTGACTGTCGGCGCGCGAGAACGCGACGTGGCCGGCAAAGTGGTGAAAGCCACGACTCACGACGGCGATAACCTACTCCAGTGCGGCTACCCAGTTGCAGCTGCCTGCTCGCAAAACGAGGAATCCCAGTTACGCGCTCTCATACGAAGGAAGAACGCCGCCTGAAACTGTATAGAATGCTCTTGTGGAGATACCAGCGTGTGCACGGTGGTTTACTTCCGCTGGAGGCACGCGGTTCAACCAAGTCCATACACACGCATACACACACACATGGGCAAAGAAAGAAGAACGAGGACAAAGAAACAAGAAGACGAGGATGAGACGAAGAAAAAGATGAAAGTGGAGAACGAGCGAGAAGGAGAGATAGAGATGGATAAAAAGACGAGTAATAAAGAGTAAGAGATAAAGAAGAAACTAACGAACATGAAGAAGAGTATGTAGAAGTATCGTATAGAGAAACTAGAATGAAACGAATAAGGAGATAAAGGAATGGAATGGTGGAGTATGATTACGAGGGGAAAGCAGATGAAAGAGAAAAGAGAGAGAGGGAGAAAGAGAAGAATGATGCAGACACAACTCCTTGCCTCTCCTTGGTTGCTTCACTGTGATTCCTTCTCTTTTTCTGTGTACGTCTCTCTCTCTCTTTCATCGTCTTTCTTCGTCTTCCTCTTCCTCTTTGTCTCGCTTGTGATCCGTTCGTCTTCTTTCTCTGATGCAGAAAAAGCCCGTTCTTAGCCTCTCTGTCCCTCTCTTGTTCTGTTCGGCCAATTCCTCGTATTATACCAGGTTGCGGCGTGGAATGCGGGCGTCCTTCGTTCGCTTCGAGCAGCGTCCAACCGATGAGCCCCGCTAGCGTTATCCTTCGCCGGTCCTTCGCATGCGCTCCTTAGGGCTCGGTAAAATTAACCTGGAATACTCGACCGAGACGCCCGCCTCACTCTCTTCTCTCTCTGCTTCAGATTCGTTAAACTCGCTCACGCGGCTTGCACCAACGGCATGCCATACTGCGCGTGTGTGTCCTCCGTCTATGTAAGTTGTATATACGCGCATACAAGCGCACGCACAGCGGTCGCGTAACAGAGTCACGGTGTATAGAGACGACGATCGGCATACTTGGTGCGGGTTTCTCGGGCTTATTGACGATGAAATTAAGGCGATTTGTCGAAGTAGAGCGGTTTTATTGAGAGTTCGCGCTCCTTTCAGATTGTGGATAGTGGGAGAACAAGCGCGAGCACATGCACATACACGCAAATATGCAGTGCGTTCTTCTTCGTTCATGATGTCGATATCACGCCAATTTATTTTTCTACATATAGGTGAAACTTTATATACCTATCAAGGGAATTTGTGTATGCCGTTTCTCCTATTATTTCTAATAATTCTTGATGATATTTTGCAGAATTTTTTATACTCACGGAAGATCGTAGCACGATTCGCGTGAAAAATTATCATCTTCTTCGTTGGGGATATTACGATAAAATTCAATGTTGCGGAAAGCAACGTACTTTTGTACAATCTTACCGCATCCATCTTATTTGAATGCGAGTACTTATTCTTTTCAATTTTTTTAAATCATTCTTTTGCATCTATACATATAGACGCATTCGTGTACGTTCGATTCCTGGTATTTGGTGCGGAATCAAACTGCTCGCACAGGTAGAATACTATAATCTAAAGACTTATTTGTGTTGTTGCAGGTGCACCTGTGTGAAGCCGGAGGCGGAGGATTCGGAGAACGGGAGAATCTAGGTATGATTGCTTTGTGGAATTTCAAGCGCAAGAATGTGGCTTTGAATGTATCTATGTAAATCATGTTCTCGGTCACATTCGAAGAATTGATTGATTATTTTAATGTTAAAAAAGAAAAAAACAAATCAAATTTTACTTTAAGGAAATCTGAATAATTTCGCATAATAAAATATTAATAAATACATATTTAGATATACTTACAAGATTTGATCGGAAATTTTGATATGAACTTAAAATGACAATTGTTTAGATAAGAATAACAAAGGTAATGTATAAGATATATGATTAAAAAATATAATAAAGTGAATTATTTGGTTAAAATAATTAATCAATATTTTTAACATAGTTCAAACATAAAAAGTGATTGGCATCAACTTTCAATAATAAACTGTATTTACTTATCAGTCTATCCACAACAATTGCTTCAGACTTTTTTTTTCAAATACCCGCTTCCTCGTACTAATAATAATTCAAGATGGTATTACTATGACACATCAATCACGCTTTAATGATACTTACTTGTCTATCTTTATCAAATGACAGAATATCGTTTGAATAAAAATACATTGAACATATTCGATTCCTTCGTGTTTTTAACATGAGACTTACATTCCTTAAAGTCTCTAGAAACGCATATATTTTCAAACGAACAGGTTTTATCTATATAGAGAATGTTGCATCGAATGATTGAAATACATGAATCACGTCTTCATTCGAATTCAGATCAACGAACCTGCATCATTCGTCGATGGGGAAAATTGTACGGTGGAAGATATTTCTTACTTTCGCGTGATCGTTCCGTACCGCTTGATCGATGGTATCTATAATAAGAACATAAGATACAGCAGCCAAGTTTTACCGATGTTAAATGGTTAGTTTCGCCGATCATTTTGTTTCTTTGTTTCCATCCATTATACGGCGTAAAGTTTAAGTTTCAATTACGAAGTCGCGATCTGCACGCATAGTTATATACACGAGATGCATCGTAATTGGCTCGTAAATTCCACGTATATAAAATGTAGACGTGTACAAAATTGAGCAACTGATATTTATGCAATTAAAGATGTCTTTTAAGTATATTATGTATAATTGAGAAAGTCCATCATGAATATTTCAAGTTTTTAGTTTTTTATATTTGTTCGAGAAGAAATAAGCATTTTTATAGAAAAATCTAGAGATATAATTTATTATTTTCACTTACTATTAATTATATAGTTTCGATTTATAGTTTCTCAAGCTGAAGTAATTTTTTTTGCTCTTGCTCATTCTTTTTTTTTTTTTTTCTGTAACATTGTACAATGAACTTTAGTGTTTCATTGCTATAATCATTATCATCGTATATTAAGAATAATCATGGGAACCCCTGTTGTGCATATTTATGAATCTTCCATAATATTACTTGCTCTATATAGCAATTACCACAGGTTGATTTACTTTATTACTTCATTGTTATGCTAATATCACCTATAATAACCGTGTTCATTATTTGATAATCATATAAGGAGGAGTCGTTAGAAGTATATAATATACATATGCGTACATACATTTATTCGATGATATCTGGGTCACTTATTTTTAAATTAATTGAATGAACTGGCATTAATAAGAAACTAATTAACAACTAATTAATAATATAGTTGAATGACTTAATATTAACAAACTCTTATTATAACCTCCAAATATAACCTCCAAATAATATCATCAGTCTTATTTTATCCTAATTTTGGCTCATATTTAATAATTTACTTTAAAAAATATCTTATAATTAAGATATTTTATATTTTTGTAAAATATATTAATAATTTACTATTATTATGTTTAAATTTATTGTATACATATAATCGTATTAATGACGATATATATATACATCGAATAAAACAAATTTCAAAAATTCAACTAATAGATAGGTATAGGTCTATAATCTACGTCAATAAAATAAATTTATTTTTATCGATTATTCAATATTTGTAAATTTATCGTAACATTATAACTTACATAAAAAACACAGATTGAGGCTCGTAAACCATAAAAACTAGGTTTCAACCATTCAAAGTACAGGAGTAAATTTCAAATAAGCAAATTGTCACGTGTATGCACATGCGAAAAATGCATATATGTATAAATATATGTGTTTATCTCATCGTTGACAAAAAATACGGTTCAGCATAAATTTTGCAAAGAATACTGTCCATCTTCCGATTCGATGTATTGTAAAAGAAAATACATTAAAAGCGCGTGCGCATGAGCATGCGCACGAAATAAAACTGCGCACAAAACTGCGCACAAACTACACGTTCCTTAGTTAACGCGCGCGCGTGAATAAACAAGTACGAAGTTTATTTTAATGGTGTTATGTACATTATACTACGTTGTTTGTTAGGTATGTTATGGTTTGTATGTATGGTATGAGGAAACGAAACGACTGTATGTTGTTCGAAACTATGTACGAGTTCTGGCGAGGTCGAAAATATGCCCAGTGGCTATCACCCACGTTTACACCATAGCTATAAAAGATTTCTGTATAATGTGGTTACAGTCGCCAACTAGTGTTTAACGATACGATCAGGATATCAATGAGGTATATTATAATTAAGAAATTTATCTTGACAACTTGAAATAAAAAGATGATTATATAATATGTCTTCATTGTAATTAATATTCGATGTTATTTTTATACGTAGAAAAGATAGAACTTGTTATATTTGTATTATATGTCACATTTTTATATTTTGTGAATTTATTTATGTAAAATTTGAGTGATTTATCTTTTTATTTTTTTTTTCGAAAAAATAACTAACTTTAATTAATCTTTTATTCTTGGAATTCATGGAATGTGTAATTGAAATTTTTCCAGAATATAATTCTTTGAAATAATTAAAATATTTCTACTATTTTAGATAGAATATTATTAAATGAATTTTATTTTAGTATTTTAAATATATTATACATTAAACATATTAATATTGTTTGAATTAAGGAATATAAAGGTATATTCAATATTAAATTAGATAAAACATTTAGAGTTTAGATGCTGTTCTAGACGACCATGACAGTAGAATATATTCCGATGTTTTTTATAAGATTAATACTGCATCAATACTTTAATTATATACCTTTTACATAAATTATTTATAAATGCTTTTATAAAAAAGAAATGATATAATTATTATTTCATATGTAACTTATTTGTGTGAACAAAAAAAAATATTTACATATTATATTTAAATCTCTAATGATCGTTTAATTCTCTCAAATAATAAAACAATCACAAGAAAATATTTCTAACATTATTAGGAATGCGTTTGTGTAATCAAAATTCGAAAGTTTCCTTATATGTCTCATATTTCTTTGAAATTTTCGTTCTATCGTTTCTCTTCTATCTTCTCTTCTTTTATATCTGGTAACACATCGTTGGCTTCTTTTAATAACGATAGTTTTTTGTGTTTTTTTGTTCGAACCATATATACACTGCATTAAAACCCGATAATTGAAATAATTAAAACGCACAACTCACCGATGGTTACAAGTAATAATAATTAAAATGGAACGGTAGTGCGCGAACAGGAACGTAATACGAAGCGCGAATTCGCGTATAATTCATCATTCGTGTATTCCGTATTCCACGTAGACGGTGTACGTGCTGAGAGAAAGACTCGTTTCGTCTGAGGAATGCACGGCATTATAATGAGAACGCGGCAAGACCACGGTGCAACTCCGCGACTCGATTATTTTGTTTAATTACAGGGAACATTAGACAAGTCACATCCGCGGCGTTACATGCTCCTCGGAATTCTTCTGTGAAAAAAAGTATCGCGGCTCTATTGTTCGTCTATTGCCACATACATAGCTATGTAATTATTCATACTATTCATAATTATTCACACAATAATTTTTTATACAGCATCCTGATTATATTACAAAGGACGTATAAATGTCTTGTGTATTATCATTAATACGGATGACTATTAGATTCTGATTAACTGCTATTTGTCGTTTGTGTGATTATAATTGTAATTCATTAAGTTATAATCACCCAATAATGACATTCATGACTTCTGAATTTGTTTGAATAATTATGAATAGTTTAATATGTTCATAATTCTGTATTGTCAATAGAATACTTCAGTTGAATCAGTTCTTATTTGAAGCATTTGAAGCAAAAAATAGTATAAATCACAAAATTTTTAATTTAAGAGAAAAATTATTTGAGTTACAAAAGAAAATACATTTGTACCATATCTTCTATTTTTTTTCTTTCTTCTTTTCTATCTATTTGAAGATGTAACAATTATGGCAAATAAATGATGAAATATTATCTAATAGAAAAATATGCACATTAAACAAATTTTGAAATTTTAATTTTAATTTTCTCGAAAAAAATTTTATATTATTGTAATATAAAAAATATCTTATTTTCTGTACAAATAAAATAAAAAAGAAAAAATTTCGAATGCAAATATAATACGCTGTTACTATGAATATTGTGGATAATAGTTGTAATTTTACGATTCTCAATAGCTTTTTCAACTGATATGCTTATCTTAATTTTTCCTAGAATAGTTCTGTTTTTTAGAGTACTTATCTAAGCTTCGAGAAGGCGAGAGAAGAAAGGGGAAGAAACAAAAAAAAAATTAACTGCATTCCTTATGAGCTCAATTAGCGGAAATTTCTAACTTTATGACAGAAAATACTAGTCGTTTCTTCATTTAAAAGCCCAATATATAGATAGATTATCGCTGCTTACTGGATGATAACAGTGCAAAGCATAGATTCCATAAAATAATAGTGGTTGCCTCGATTGTTGATTCGATTAATATTTGCCGCATATTCATACTATGGTTACATTAAATATATATTTAAATATTAAATATTACTTAAGGATAATTGATTTAGGATCCTATTATTTGTAATTATTTTAAATGTTTAAATAAATTCAGAAATGAATTTCATTATCTATAGCTATAAATCTTTTTATAATATATAATTTAATTAAAAATATAATAATGATATTTAATCTTTTGATTTTTAAAGTATTAATTTAAAAAGGGATAAAATTAATTATTTATACATTATTTGTATGTTGAATACAAAATTTATTTATGTAACATTAATAATAAATAAAAATCATGATCGATTATGGTGTTTTTTAATCAAACTTTGACATATTTTGTGATATTTTTTTCTTTTAGAAAACACATTAAAAAGATTTATTAAATTTTTATATATTTTAAACAAAAAATAAATTATATTATTTCATTATATTAAGTACGCATTTAGTTAATAGATTAATTTCTTCAATATAGATATTCTAATGATTTAAAAAAAAATTAATTCATTTATTGTATATATTTTTTGTATGTATATCATATATGTTATCATACATGTAATATTTTTTAGTTCAATTTATAATTAATAATCATTTACAATGTTCTCATTATTTTGTGTAACTTTCCACTTCAAAATCTTTACAGTTCACTGTTCTTACATAATTCTCTCAATGTTCCACGTTAAATTAGTGGTGAACAAGCAAAGCATATGAGAGATGCGCGAATTGCGCAATGTAATTACACGGTTGGACGAAAGACAGTAGTGGTTGCTCAACATGGATGGCGGCGACCATAAAGACTCCGTTTCAACAAAAGTTCAACGAAATTCGAATACCGCAAATATTCAAAACAGTGACAGTCGCGCGTTCAGGCTCAATTTCTTTAACTGCGTATCTATTCACATTCCCGAGTTTCTCGATTGATCAATAAAAATGTGCAGAATTTTAATCATTAAGTAAACCACACGCTAACATTTACGAAGTGTTTCCATGTCGATTCCTACACGTTTAACGTAAACGAACGACTACTGTCTTTAAGAACTGGCCCTATCAATGCATCAACGACAAGTGCTCATAAACAAGCCCTTGTTTGCTAACATTTGTTTAGTGGAAGTGCTTGACAAATGTTTGTCACGGATTGCCTGCTATTAACATTTCAAAAAGCTCACAAACATTTGCAAGCATTCTACGTGACCGGTGAATACGTGGCTTTAGTAGTCGAAACAAAGCTCGAGGTGGTCCACTCGGTCTCTCCGTACCGCGTTATTTCCTTACGTAAGCGCTGCACAGTGCACGGGTCGTTGCTTCGTTCTGTATGTCACCGTGTGCCGCGCACGGGAACACCAGTCTGACGGCATTCCATCGTGATTTGCGAACGTTTCGGTAAACGTTCAGCACACCCGTGGTTCGCGCGGTGTTTACGTCTGCTCCTCGTTGCAGAGGAGGAGAAGAGGTTGGCCGCCTCGTGGCGATAATCGGAATTCCGAAAGGAAAGCAAGTTACGCGTAATATCGGCCACGATTTCGTCGAATCGTATTTCTCGAGAGATCTTCGATTACAATTTTTTTCCTCTTATTTTTTTATTACTTTTTTTATTTTAATAACAGAGTTGCTCAGTGTAAACGTCGTTCTGGTTGGTTTACGCGACACGTGTCTTGTTCAACGGATTTGGACTCTGCTCCGCTTGTTTTTAGGTTAAGGCCAATTACGAGAATTCTTCGAGTGGCGCGTCTAACCGTTGTAAATAAACGATTGATAGGTTAGGTCTGTTTCCTTTTACGATTGGACGTTAAAAATATGGTGATGGTGATGTTGGAAATCATGCGATGATGAAATAATACTACGAGAACCAACGTTTTGAAAATTGCATAATAGAATTGTAATTTGTTAATCGTTAAGAGATAATTTAAATGTTCATTATTTTAAAATTATGTATGAGTATAAAAAATTCCTTCGTAGCATACTTATTATATCACTCATGACACGAATTAATTAATTAATATCAAGAAATCGTATCCAATATTACCGTACTGTGATATTCGTTTGAATTTTTTAATCGTTTTTTATGTAATTTCGATGCTAAAATCGGCGTGAAGAGATCAGGATCTATATCCTGCGGTTCTTCATTTAGAATTAGATTTGAAATCCAACTGAAAATCCAACCTACTCCGAAACTTAAGACACTTCCCAAGGGACAGTACCACATATATGAAATGCGATACAGGTAGAAGTATGAGTCATTGTTACTTTGCCTGTAACAGAAAAACCGCATATGTAATTTATTGCCTCTTAGAAACCAATTATGTTAAATTGTACTACGTAGAACAAGTATTAATTTTATGATTAAGGAAAGCATTAGCAATGCTTTGATATAATAGATGTGTATGTAATATATGTAAGAATATAATATCATTTTTTTTAAAACATAATTGTGATTTGGAAAATATATATTTATTTATATATATATATTTTTTATTGTATATTTACTTGTTGTTATTGTATATTTACTTTTTTTATTGTATATATGTTTGGATAATCGTTAGGATAATCGAATAATTCTTTTTCATATTAAAATTTATCTTAAAACCGTTATTCATTTTTTGAGAATCATTACTTTAATATTAATAATTATTAAATTAAAATAAATTACTAAATTATTGAACAATAACAATCGTATATAATATATATAGATTTTTTTATATAATGAATTATGTTTTTAAAAATAATCAGGAAATAATTTATCAATAAAATATTTAAATATAATAATAGTAACAAATAAATAAATATTAACTTTTTGTAAAAAAAAATAGATTATATATTAAAAATATCATATAAATAAAAAAAATAAACTTATGTTATCAAAAAATTGATATTAATAATTCTTACAATATTATATCACTATAAAAACAATATATACGACTTTCTAAATGCTATTTCTCATCGACTAAACGTCAAAGAAGATTTCCAATGATAAAAACTAAAAAACAGTTGCGTGTATCAGAGAATGTGCGTGAACAGAGACTGAAAATATGCATGGTCAATAAATAGCAGGCGAATTCCTTACTGGTATTCAAAATGCAAATTCGACGATTCCTCGTAATCATAATGCGTGGCATTGCTACAGTTAGACGTGATATCCACCTTGTTCGGGATTGGTGGTTTTGGCTGACCGAAACCGATCCACAGGGAGAAAACGAGGCTAGTTAGTAGACCGACGATCGCTCCTCTCTGATTTCCCAATCTTGTAAACATGCCTAAAGTGAACATGCCGAACACAGGACCGCCCACCACACCAAAAATCGTCAGAGCTGCCTGAAGAAGTCCACCAAGAAAATGTCCCATAAATGCCAATCCTATACAACTAATACCGACTATAACGGCCAGAATCTTGCTGATGATGATTGAACCCGTTGCGGTAATCTCTTTATTCCTGAAATAATATTAATTATATTAGTTGATTATATAAATCTTATGCATTTAAATAATTAATTGATATGTATAAAATGAAATAACCAATGGTAGATATTCTAATTATACAGATTTATAAAGTTTCTTTTCGCAAAGCTTAACAAGTTACAAATTATAGGTTATGTTAATAAATTCGTCTGTATAATGATATCAAATTTCATATTAATAAAAATTCTATCATAACAATTATTACAATTAATGATATTTGTAAAATATTTGAATATAAATCGTAATATTATCATTAAAAATCTTTTAAATACATATAATTGTAAATTCTACAGCAAGAAGGATCCATTTTTATATTATAAGTAATATTCTTTATTCCTTATTCTCTATTTCTTTCGTTGCAGGATTCTCAATTTCAGTATTTTCTATTCAAATTTTTTCTCGAGAGTATCATCCAAGATAATTAAAAGTTTAAACTAATCGAACCAAAGAATTTCCCCTTGGTCACCGTACAATAATATTAGAAATCTAAAATACATAATGACACATTGCTTGACGAAATATTTATTAAATTCTACGAGGCTCACCAAAGACGACATATGGGTTTGATAAAATCTTCCAGTATAACGGCGGCCAAGGAATTCACCGTGGCAGAGATAGTGCTAAGTCCAGCGCTGAAGATGCCTGCTATAAAAAGGCCGGGCACACCTGGATACGCGGAAAGCATGTCCATCACATAAAGCGGCATTAATTGATCGTAGGATCCGATCCTTCCGCTCTCGAGGGGGTCGCAGTTACGATACCGGGTGTATATCGCCAATCCAGTGAAACAGAGGCCCAAGGACATGAGGGAGGATAATGGCCAGCTTATCCAAATGGCAGATTGCGCGTGTTTCACGTTTCTGTGAAAAGCATGAAAGTCGAGGGAGATGATTTTACAGACGATTATTATTAAAGTCGAATCGGCAGCCGTGGCGGACGAGGAACGATTTATCGAACGATCGCTACCGGCGGTATGCATGCGAGATGCGTGGCTGAGATAAAGTCCGGAGGAAAATTCCTCCGTCTCTCTGTCGTCACGCTACGAAGAAGAGAATCACGATAATGCGCCTCGAGATGAATACAATGCCGCGGGATCGGGATACGCAATATTCGAGCCATCTAGAGAAATTTCATTCGAATGCTGGTGGCTCCGTATCGTCGTCGATTTATCGAACGTTGATTTACGATTCAAGACCTGGGGAAGAAAGATTGGCCGATTCCACGATCGGTGCATGCCTATTTGCTCGTTTTAGCAATGTTTTTGCTACTATAAAATGGATTAGTGGAACAGTAGGTTGAAGATACTTGAACATGATTAAATTTAAATAAGAGTAATCTGGTTTTCTTTTTTTAGATTACATGATTAATAACATTGGTTATGATATATTTATGCACTTGTACACGTATTAAAGAAAATTAATACGTTTGGCATTAATTTTTCATAAATTTTTTTATACGAACTTCTTATCGAAATAATTTTCATACTAGATTTATCTAAAATAATTATTAAATTATGTATGGTTTTCTACAACCATTAATTAATGACGTAAAAAGTTATATATTTTAATTCGTATTTTCTTTTTTTCTTTTAGGAATAATTTTTTTAAACCAATCTGCGTTATTTCAAATTCATAAACGCCGAGATGAAATTCTTGATGTTTTTTTTAATATTTGGAAACGTGTCAGCAAGATGTTAGTTAATTATGAAATGTGTGGATATATATAATTCGTGATATCACGGGATACGTATGTATCGTGTAGAAAGTCAGCGTATACTCACTTGATGGTTAACATTCTCTGAACTTGAACTTGGTTGGTTCCGTACAAGGAGAGGTAGGTGAAGAAACCGCCAAATGTCAAGCTCCACCAGGTGTGTCGCACAGTTGGGTCCATTGAAATGCTGAATGAATGCACATGCCATTGTCAGTATCGATATCGGGCCTGAATTCCTCGTAAAATAAACGTTTCATGCCTGGCATGATATTTGAAAGTGTGTTAACTGCTCATGGCAATTTACAATATAATACCAAAGAGAAAATTTAAGTAGTTGCTAGCACACTATTACTCGTGTTATACAACGTAACGGTTTATATTATAATGATAGTTAAAGAACCATGCTCTGATTGCTTCGATGCCCTAAACAATACATAAAACATAATAATATCGTAAAATGTACTAATCAATGATAAATCGAGAATTTAAATGATAAATTCAGAGTTTTTAATATTTATTTAATAACGAAAATTGACAGTAATATTGATCAGTAGAATAGTTTCTTCTGGAGAAGTGATAGAACTAGAGTTGCTCTATTTCTTTAATAACTTATATTATATTCTACAAGAATATACATGGATGAAAGAAAATAGTATTAAAAAACCGAATATATTTGATTTAATTCCTCACATGGCATTTATTAACGAAAATAATAATACTTATATTTAGAAAATCATAAAATCAGAAAACCCTAATAGTTATTTCCGTTACATTTGATTACTATTCAAATTACTTTTCTTTTATCCATTCATTAATGACATTAGTATTGGTAGTCTTCACGATATAATAGGGTCATAAAGTACATCATTAGAGAGCGGCATCGATTGACGCAATTACATCGTCACATTTAGCTGGAATAATCTTTCTGGTTCAAAGTTAATGTATATTTCATGTAGATTTTAAGGTTCCGGATCCTTATGTAAAATTTGACCTTTGACCAAATTACTCTGACTTAGTTATATCGTGAAACCTACTTTAATGGTTAATGCGATCGTGATTGGATTTTTTTCTTTTTTTCCAAGAAAATAAACGTTCACCTGTCAAATTCTATCCGTGATCCTTGTCGGGCAATCTCCCAAATTTTGTCAAGGCCTCCGACGTTCATGGCTGCGGTGATGATTACCAAGATAATAGCTATCAGCATCAACAGACTCTGAAATACATCGGTAATGAGAACCGCCTTGATACCGCCGATGGTCGAATAAAACGTGCAGACCAATCCTATGCCGATTACACTTGCGGTCGTCGAGATACCTGTGGTTGCTTCCAGGGCAAGTGCCGGTGCGTACAATACTACACCGCTGTACAGAAGCAGTTGAAGTGTGAAAGCGAAGCTTCCTGCCATTCTTGCCGCTTTTCCAAAACGTTTGTGCAAGTACTGAAAGTTATATTTGCATATAATAATTCTCATCGATTATTTTTTTACTTTCAATTAATATTAAATATTTTTTTTTTTTCTTTTATCGATTAACATGTGAAGTGAGCATTGCCTCGTAACTCACTTACCTCGAAGGCGCTGGCTTTTCCAATCTTAAAGAACACCGGCATGTACAAGTAAACAACGAATGGTGTAGCAAGTCCATAAGAAATATTGATCACAGCGTATTGGGTACCATAAACATAATTTTCTGAACTCACTCCTAGCAAACTGACCGCGGATATATACGAAACCGTTAAGCCTATCGCGACCGGTAACATTTGCATCGATCTGTCTGCCATGAAATATTCCTGTTGTGAACCATGTCGAAATTACATGAAATTATTGGGCTATATAATACTTTCATCTTTTATTTCTTTTTTGTCGATTAATTTTTAGTAGAAATTTATTTATTAGTAAATTTTAATATTGAATTCATTCGTTTAAGCATCTTATAAAGATATTCGACCGTTTTGAAGTGATATATATATATTTAGTAGAGATAGATTTTTATAATTCAAAAATCTCTATAAGAGTAAAATTTTGTCTCGAATATCCCAAAAGAGATGTATGGATTTTTCTTTCTTTGAGATCTTTACAATTGGAAAAAATATTGTACAAAATCAAAAAAAGATGAAATCTTTATCATTTTAATTCTTTCATTGAATATATATTCTATATTATTTCTAAAAAAAAAAAGAAAGAATTATTTAAATTGACTTACCTCCATCGATTTCTGTTTTCCTCCGCTAAGCCAGTAATATACACCAATTCCTGAACTAATGATCATCGTTATTATGATTACCGCATAATCTGCAGCTACCAGGTTAGCCATGTTCCACTTTTAAACGATATTGTCAGGCTGAATTCGACAGGCACACTAGTGCTTGGCCGCGATCGTACTCGATCGCGGCAGTTTATTTATTTAATGTATCGCTTAGTCGACAAACGTTGCCTCTTTAATCATTGTTGGCTTCAACACATTTAACATTGATGCCATTTACGTAATGATTCAAACAACCATCTGTCTGGCGAATTATATTAGCATTCTTTTTCCCTTTCTTTTTTTTATCGTATTCTGTTAGAATTAATAAGTCTAGTTATAATTGAATGTTTTCTTTTTGAATTTTGAGAATCGTTAAGTTCATTGTGAAATTTGATTTCTACTTGTTCTTCGTTTGTAAACATCACTTGTGATAAATAAGCATTTATGTCCATACATCTCTGTTGATTTTAATCATCACCTGTAATTAGATTTTTATTTCCTTATGTGATTATAGTTTCTGTGATTATGTGATTATAGTTTTAATGTGAAAAATAGGAATTGATATATTTGTCATAAATATAAGTTGATAATGTAATAGTAAGATGGTACTATTATTGATGCAGTGATATTTGAATAAAGGATATTTAATTTTCAAATGATTCTTTTGTAATTGTTAATCACAAGTTTTGATAATTTTATATATGTAAAAATAAAGAATATTATTTTTTAATAAAGATGTTTAAGATAAGTGAATTTAAAGATTAGATAATACTCAAATAGTGATACTCACATCAACTTTTGTATATATATACAATTCACTTATATTGGTAATTGCATTTTATTTTGTATATATTTATATTTTTAATGTAAGTGATGACTTAAAATATAAATTTATAGTATAACTTAAGTCAAAATTTATAGATTTTCTTTATAATTTTAATTATAAAGAAAACACTAAATATATATTAAACATCTGATCACTTATTTCATTTTTTATTTATCTATTTAAAAAACTATCACTGTAACAAAATCACGCAAGGAAACGAACATTTTAAATATTGTACGCGACAATTGTATATACTGATGGACGTCGTGATAGTAACTAACAGAGATATATTAATAATTGTTTCAATTGTTACGATTAAAGAAATACCAACACTGAAATAAAGCTAAATCCTTACCAGTATAAACGTTTATATTATTTTTTACGAATGCAAATGTTATTTTTGATTTCATATGAAATGTCATGTTTCTTACTATCACTAAAAAACTCCTTAAGTTATAATTTTATCTGGGATGTGAAACTCGTATTAAAGTTCCAGAACGACTAAATATTACAAGAAAGAGTTTGAGTATTTAGGATTAAGTGGCAGATAAGAATGATAAGTATGATAAGTTAAAAAACAAAAAATTTTTATCATTCAATTTCAGTTCTTTAATTATACACATTTAAGAAGTACTATATAAACAATAACACTTGTCAATTATAATGCATCGCGTGACTACTATTAAAACAGCCAATGATGTCTACACATTTCAACAACATTTCATTAAAAAGTAGAATTTTTAGAAAAAAATCTAATATTTATAAAAAAATGAATATTAATAAAATAATTATCATTAGATTAACCAAATTCTATATACAGGAAAAAAATATTTTAATGAAAACTAAATCATATATATTATTATTAATCTTTCATTTTAGAATTTTGTTAATAAGTTCATATTCTTGTGCATTCAAATATTATGCTCTTATAACTTAATTTTTATACGAGTTTCATCTCTGATATCATTTTACTCATCGTTATCAATTTCAAAGCATGTATAATTATCGATGATATCACACATAATTTTGATTATTTTGCAATTTTTTAAATTAGAACTATATAAAATTCAAATAAAAATCTTTTTTAAATTGAATCAATTTCTATTTTGAAGTTACAAATCAATAAGATACTTCTATTCTTTTATTAATCAATATATTAAACTTTTTGATGAGATCTTTTTTTTTTCAATATCCTCTAATAGGTATATCGTCCCGTTATAGAACTTTTGCACAAAGTGAAGGTGTACGAAAAGTTTCTAACTATAAACGCACAGTTACATTATAAAGATTACAGTTATAAAGTATACATCAAATATTAAGTGAAAGACCATAGATATCGGATCTCGTATAGGTTTGTGACAGTGTTTACGGTACTGGCGACAAGCGTTTCCTGCGTACTATCATAGAACGCGTTGTTTGCACGACAAGCGCTTCTTACGGAGCTACGGTTTATGCACGTTCGCGGCTATACAAACCTACGCGTTGAACGTGCACGTACGCACTTCCGCGTTCTCGTATCCTACCTGAGAGAGCGCGGGTGTCTCTTACGATTATCGTCGAAATAAATTCCGCGGTAACCTATGGGTCTTCTTCTTCTTCGTGATCTCGCTTCCCTATTCGCATTAGAATATGCACATGTTGGAAGGAGAAAGAAACAGTCTGTATATATATATAAAATGTGTTCATCCATCTAAATAGATCTATATATCTATAGATTTATATAGTTCGATGGAATGTATCAACGTCTGTAAAAAAATATTATTTTTTTTTAGAAATATAATAAAATTTTTTGTAAATTATATTTTTTAAATATTTTTATATTAAATACATAAATAAATATTCTAAAATGATGGAAGATATTCTAATGATTTATGATATTTTATGATTAAAATTAGAAATTAGAAATAGATTAGAAAATAATTCTTTTTCCAAAAATATATCTAAATGAAAGATTAAAAATGAAACAATAAATTTATAAAAAACACTTGATTAAATATATAATTAACTTTTAACATTTTCTCGATTCAACTATTAGTAAGATTATTTTAATGATACATTGTAAGATAGAAATGATAGGCAATTCTAAGTTAATTAAATTGATAATTATGCTTTTAGAGAGAAAAAGTAATTCGAGATATCGCGTTCAATTCAGTCGGTGAGCAAACTTGTTTGTTCGACTAAACAATTTACCTACACATTAGCGATTCTACGGTGGTGCCTGTTAGCGCCAGCTCCTCGTCACGAGCTGCTCGTGTAATGCGTTAATGTGTGTAGAACGTACGCGTTACTGGCAAGATGCTAAACAATTACACGAAGTCCGATAGGCTATTGTTGCCCAAGCCATGAAACAGGTTGCATCTTTTTGGTCTTGTATCGAAATGACATTGATATACAATTTTTATTCCAGTTTTACTATATAAAACATATTTAATAATTATTTAAATATATTAATTTAATATTACTAGCTACTATGATTATTTATACTAATATTTAATTGTATCAGCATTTATTCGTCAGCAAAAATATGTATGAATATACTTATAATATTGATTGTTTTTGATTTTCAAGAAATAAATATGTAAACATTTATATAATCTCATTTTCTATATCAATTCAAATAACATAGTCTAATTTAGTCAATTCTAATTTAATTTTTGTTCTAATTTTAAAAAAGTCAATTTAGTTAAATTAATTGGATATTCGAAGAGGTTAGGTTTGATTCCATTAGTGCAACTAGTAGACTAATACAATTAATTTGATCATGTTGAATCGCAAATATTTCAATCATTATTGACGAAATTAAATTATAAATACTTATTATAATTTTTATTATAATAATAAATTAAATTTTCATTTAAAAGACTCCTATATAAATAATCTCATTTAAAAACAATGCCAGTTAAGTAGTATTTTAAAATTGTAGTCCTTAACCTATGTACACATAAACATGCATCAAATGTTTTTACGTTACAGTCTTTAAGAAGTTGGCAATAATCCTCGGGTGATTTTAACATACAAATCAGCGCGGAAGATAGATTGCATTATCATTGCGTCTAGTGAAGAGAACGTGCAACCATTTCGGCAAATATTCATTCCACGGCAGTATTTTATTGGTCATGGACGAGGTGCGCCCGTGCTGCGCGTTTCTCGTGCGCATTCTTCGTTCCGTCAGAGGCGTCAGTGTCGCGGATCTACGCTTCGAATGGCGGGTTTGTTGCCGCGATCCCCGTCACGGCGATAATAAATTTTCCGTATCAAAGCGTCGTTAAGTGGGAATTATTTTGCAATTAAGAACAGGTTGTTCCACGGATCGAATCGATTACGATCTAATCATCCACCGTTGCCGTTGCAATTTGCCTCTGGGATTTATTCATAAAATCGTCGATTTATTCGTAAACGCGTAAGAAAGGCATTCCAGCGCGGCTTAACGAGAATGCTAAACCGCAAGGGCAGGAGATCAGGGACTTTACTAGAATGCGCGGCGAACTGCATGCACGCATGATGCATTTGTTGAACCGTGGGTGGAAGAAAAGAAAGGAAGAGTGGGAGAAAGAAAGATGAAGGCGCGTAGGATGAATACGGTGCAGTCTTGATGTATTTTTTAACACTAACTGCCGGGTGAGTTTCACATATTTTGTTTACGATATAAATATCTATATTAATAAAAAATTCATTGTTTAATATTAGAAAAATCAGTCAAAATGATAAGAAATTTTATTCGATATTCCTATTTAGATTTCCCATTTTGATATTCCTATGTACTTAAAAAGGATAAATAATGAATGAATAATAATTCATTCAAATATTTTAATTAATTCTTGCATCATAGATAATTTTTTATTTTAACGTTATCTATTAATTTCTAAAGAAATAATCATTTACATGATTTTGTCCCCCTCTATGTATTATCGTTACAAATAAAAAGAGTTCAGAAAAAAACCAATAGATTGCGCATATGTAGTCAAGAATATAGTCAAGAAAAATAAGAACGGGGCTTAAGGTTGCTTAAATATCACTATTTTAATTAATGGCTAACATTCATATTTGCGACTATTCTTAAAATTTGTTTTGTTTTATTCCCTGTTCTGTTTTTCGATTTTGTTTTGTAAGAGTAGCAAATGAACGATCAAGCAGAAAGAAATAAAAGTGGGAAAATCAACATTTCTTTTTTAGGTTTAATTACTAGCTTCTATAGATTCAAATGACGTAAGAGATGTACTGGTTCTTGTACTTGAGACATTAACCACGAGATCGCGCATCACTTCATTATGTATTTCCCGCGCATTTTAGTAGTTTGCTAGTGGTACAAGAAGATACGAACGAATTTGCACGTGACGTGAAAATTAATTTACGATAAATGTTATGGTAAATTTTGTGTTTTGTGATTTTTATGAGCATTGTGACATTTAAACAAGCAGCCAATAGTCGTTGTGAAATGTTTATGCGATAAAACTCGTTTGCATGTATCGTAGGCTGCGTTACAAAATATGATAGCAGTGTTCTGTGTGAAGCGTGCTTCAGTTTGCTATATGGAATGAAGAAAAAAAGATGGAGGCAAAGAAAAAAAAAAAGAAAGGAAAGAAAAATGAGAAATGGGGTTCTAAGTAAGTACGATAGCGTAACATACTGACCTTATATTTTCATTAGCATACAATCAAGTCTAGATAAAAGAATACTTATATATGCCGGTATATCGGAAATACATATAGCTACGCGATCAAATCGTTGATAAATGCGAATAACGGTTCATTAGAGGATGCTCCCGGAAAGCTATGCAACAAATAGAACGAAATGATCGATTGATTAATATTTATCTTCAATCGATGACTGTTACACGTTACTAAGAGATTATTAAAATATGAGAAGTCATATATTTTTAAAATTTAGAAAAAAAAAAGAAATTAAATAGAAATTTAAAAATTCTTATATCGATATAGAATGTTAGAATATTTGAACAATCAGTTTATTATACAATAAAATAAATATGAAATAAAATAATATTTCTTAGAATTTTTTTAATTTTAATATATAGGTTACTTTTGTACTTTTTCGATTACTATCATTGAATCAAGCGCTATATAATCAGCATATAAATCCAGTCCGAATTAATACATTCATTCTCACTCGTATAACCGGAAATTCTGCACATTTCACGGACGCCGGCTATTAATGTAAATTCGGTATTAGATTAATTCATTTTTATCAAATTCTTATTAATTTTTCAAAATAAGATTTTTATATACAATGTTGAAAGTAAAAAATTACTTCAATGAAAATATAATATCAAATTCTTGTTATATATTAATTAATATTATATTGCATTTTATGAAATTCAATAATAAAACTCAAAATTCATAATATTTTTAGATAACTATTACAATTAAAGAGATTTATTCATATATTTATGTATAATTGACGAATATGATTAAAAATAACAATCTATTTGTTCTTTCGTTATCTTTTCGTCGGCCATTTTTAGAGATTCGTTCTCTTTTCCTCCAGATAGGTAGGTTGCTAGGTAATTAGATTTGTACGCGCGGGCAACATCGGCGCTTGAGAAAAGGACGAGAAGTGGCGAGAGTGCGCAAGACACGGTTACTCATGCCACTGGAATGTAGTTCACATTGTTTATATACCGCCTCCTACGTGCATGCACGTCGCACTTCGTCGAACGATAAAACCAGTCGCCGGCGCTCCCGTCGTGTGGATATCGGTCTCCGTGCATGTGCACACGCTTCGTCGATCGCCACTTTCATCCCTGCCGATCCGTGGAATCCTCGTTCTGTTTTCGAATTCGCTACGAGTGGCTGTGATGCCGATAGGGAGAAAAAACATCCACCCGCCATTCAAGTATGTTCTTTCGATCCGATCGAGATCTGCATACTGATGATCGAGGATGGGCTAATTGCCGGAGATCGCTACAGGCACAAAGGTCGCCGGTGTCGCTTGTAAAACATCCTAGATCGTTTGACGAGGCGGTAATAAAAGACTGGTAACGCGGATGGCATTCGTTATGGGTGGTTATTCCGAATGGAGGATTCTTACGAGTATTCGTCACCCAAGGCTGAGGAAAATAGATTTTTGAAATAGATAAATAAATATATATAAATATATAAATAAATAGAAATAAATATTTCTTTTTCTTTTAATGATACAGGCTTTTACAAATAATTTTTTTTTAAAAGAAATAGTATCTTAAATGTATATTTTAGAATCAATTAATACAAATACTGTTTTGAAATGGATATTTCGTTGAAATATGCAATCATTTTCGTTAGTGCGTTTATTACATTTCGATTAAACGAAAAATAAATATTCTATCTACATCTAATCGGATTTCATCAATTTATAAAATTTATAAAAATATTTATCTGCAACATCTGTCTACAATACTTCTTGTTGAAGATCATTTCAAACGAATTCTCTTATCCCTTGAAGTATTCCATCATCAAAAAAATCCCTTTATATCAGAATAGCATCGAGTCTTTCGTCGTATCCACAAATAATATACCTCGACGGTTCATCCCCTATCGTCCTCCGCTCTCCACGAGCAAGTACCTATCGAGATCCTCGCGCAAAAATTGATCCTCCGTGATTTTCCTTCGAAGTCTGTACACTTGGGGTCGGTGATCGCGAAGAGAATGCTATAGGGACACAGGTTGAACGGCTGCGAAATGCATTGGCTATCGGGGTCCAAGAAGGGACGAGAGATAGAGAATGAGAGAAGAAAAAGAGGGATAAAGAGGGATGGTAGAGAGGAGGGTAAGAGAGAAAAAGGAGGTTGGATCGGGGGAGGGGGTAGGGAGAGGGCGGCAAGAGGGGGAGGGAGAAGAAGAGACCGGCTTTTATAATGGCGCGGCAGTTATACCGGTAAGCGAGTAAATGCATCAACGTGCTGCAAACCGAGAGGCACCTGAGAAAGAGAAATAGACAACAACTGACTACGAGTGCATGTACGGGAGAAAGAAGGGATCACGGTAAGGGGGTGGGTGTACGGAGAGGTGGAGGAGGGAAGGGAAGAAGAGGATCGAGGGAAAGGGACAGAAAAGAGGCAGACTCCTCGGGGTGTGGGCGGATTGCACGCGTCTCTCGGTAATGGATCCCATCGATCATCCCTTCGCGGGTAGATGGTTTCTCTTCCTTTCTGCTCTCTCGTGGATCGTCCATTAGTCAATTTCGTCGATTACCGTGGCGACTTCGTCGAATCATGGGACGACCCCAAAATAGTCGTGTCGAGGACGTGGAGGAGAAAAGAAAACGCCGCCACGATGGCAAAAAGCCACTTCGTTGCGCAGACATGGTGCAAAGTATGTCAAGAATCATTTATGTCCTTCATGATACGTATATGTATTATATAAAAGAGTAAATTATTGGCGCGAGATGCGAGGTTCTTGCTTGTACGAAAGAATTGAAATTTTTTTTCTCCGAATGTAAAGTACAAGACAAATTCTTCGAATTTTCAAAATTTTTCAGTATTCGAATTTCCACTAACATTTATCGGAAAAACGAATATAATGTAACGAAGATTCAATAATTCTCGTATAGAGGATATATGTACGAAGAAAACTCGGTAGAAATCGATACAATTAATCGGTTCCAGCGGGTTTGAAATTCCACGGTGGATCTGATGCTCTCCCCGTTGCATTTTTCTTTTCTTTTGAAGAACTTATTGTCCGGCCGATTTACGAGCGGTTGGCTGGCTCGGCGCGAGCGAGATCCATCCCGTTTCTCCATCCACGCGACCGCCTCTTGTTCCACAGAGATGAAAATGGAGTAATGCCGGGAGCGATTCTGTGATTTACCGTGGACCAACATCCAGAAAGAGATTCAACACACGTATTGTGAACCGTGTGCAGAGGCCTTCTTCTTCTTATTCCTCCTCTTCCTCCTCCTCCTCCTCCTCCTCTTCTTTCTGCTGTTCCTACCGGTTGGGATCTCTGGAAATGCCAGTGTGATTTGTGCGACCGGTTACCGTTTTCATTTGCATATCCCTATCGGCTCTTTCGTACATTGTTATCTTCGTTGCCACGTGATTCTCTGGTCTAATAGCCTGACATGAAGTAATCCCGGTAGTCCTCTCCTCTCTATTTCGAGGAACGTTATATGGATGTGTTGGATCATCGGTCACGTTATTTGGATAGTTAATCGATTTTTTTGTTCTCTTTTTTTTTCCTCGTTTGTTTTTTTTTTTTTCGTGAGATTCGTTTGGTTCTTATCCTTTGATATAGAAGACAGGATGATGTGATTTAAACGAAAAGTCGAAGTATCGAGCTATATTATCCCATCGATATTGTATAAATTCATTACATATTATCTTTTCCATCCCATCCATTGGCTTACAATTATAAGGCAATCACACGTATCAAATTTCGCGCGATATTTTTCGAAACATCCATTGGAGAGTTTATTTTTCAAACTTTCGTATTTCAATTATAGTTTATGATACAAACGGTGTCCACGTTGAACCAGCTTTTCTTTCTTTTTCCACTGATATGATTGCAGTGAGGACGCTGGGCGTAGCGGCGACGAAATGAAGCATGCAGCATGCGTGGTAGCGGTGTCACGGCTGCGCGGTCCTGCCTTCAACCCCTGGTGTCCGCCAGCCGCTACCTCGCCGTTCAAGCCCTTCCTGGTGATCCTCTTTACTTCGTCGTTGAGGTGAGTACACACACATTTACATTATTAAATCGGGGAGAGGGGAGGGAGAAGGAGGAGGAGGAGAATAATTCATGACGACAATGCATATTCAACTTGTTGCAACGTACATCATAATCGTTTTCATCTTGTTCCATTACGCACATGGTAATTCCGGATCGTCTATTTTTTCCATACAACGCCATTCTTTCTTCATGGAATTATCCTCTAATGAAAAAACCAATAACGTTGAAAGCTATGGTATATGTTTAAAGACGATCGCGTAATTTTTCTTCATACTTTAGAACGATTCGCATAATCGCCAGTATCATTTTATAGAGAAGTCGATATCTTCGAATCTTATCTTTTATGAATATTATTAATTCTTGTTTGAAGCGTTTATAGCGTACGAATTGCTGTTTAAATTACCGGTAAGATACTTTACGACTGAAGATACGAGGGAAAATGAGACGGAATATAAAGTGATACGATATAATAACAATGATAAGAAACTTACTATTGATAATAATTAAATATAAAAATATTTCGATAGAATAATTTCGAAATGCTAGATTATCATGATTGACGAATGTTCATAAATAAATAAAATTTTTATTCTTAACATTCGTGAAAAAAAAGTTACATAAAATATTATAAATACACGATTGAATTGAAAATCACGCGAAAAAAAAAAAATGAAAAAAAGAATTCGATCCGATTATTTCTTCCTTTTTTTTTTTTTCCACATGTAACATGTACCATCATCCGGTTGAAACGGAAACGCGCAACATGGCCGCGAAATACCATACTTTATCGGGACATGTGCATCGCGATGTCGAGGGCACGCCTGGATTTTCTAATCGTGGAATGCGATTAGTTACATCCGTGGCGCGCGTGGGCGTGCGAGCGTGGAATAACCGATGCGAGAGAAACCCGCGTATAGTATAGTCGATATATTAAGGCGTGCGAAGGTACATGCACCTGCCTTGTCCTCCCTAAGAGTCATTTACAACCGGCAGACCGGGGGAGTGAAGAGGAACGCCCGATACTATGTGGAATGGCTAATTGAAAAAGTTGCTGCCTCGGTTATTTTGTAACACCGTGTTGTACAGAATTATGTTTCACGCGTGAAAAGTAATTTTATTTCATTATATTTTTTGAATGTGTCACTATATATTGAATATACGATCGATTTATCTTTTCTTTTATTTTATTTCTTCGAAAATCTATCAGGCTTAATGCTAGAATATTGCTTAATGAAATTAGTAAAAATTGAGATAAACAAAGAGAACGGAATATCCGTATTCTCATTGAAAATAATATTTATCAAAATATGATTTGTCAAATTTTTTAATAAATTTTATCATCTTCTAACCGTTTTAATTATCTTCTAACCGTGAAACATTCCGTATAGTTCTTCTCTACGACGGTGGAAAAATTTATCTTGAAACTCCAGTGAATATCAGAGCAATATTGTTATTCAAATTTTGTTCCATTATTCATGTTAAAAAGATCGTATTTATCTCGCATTTTGTCTCACCTATCCAAGCTTCAGGTATACATTAATGTATATATGCGATACAAAAGTTATATCAAATGCAATGTATAATTATATTAAAAAATTATTTACGCGATCTTACCGAAGAATTCACTTGAGAACTGGTAAGAAAGAACTCGTTTTAGTTTTGCGTGGCACGATATTTTTCGTCGATTCACGGTAGAACGCGTGCCCTCGTAAATTTTTCAATGCTTCGCGTGAAAAATGAGTGATCTCGTTTTTGAGGCGCGCGTTTACACGAATTATACACGCGCGATTCATCATCGTTTCAACGCAGTTATGATTGCTATTAAAACAGTTGTTGCCGATTAAATCTGTCGGAATAAAGGCTCGTTTGATAGTGGATTTTAACTCAACGATTCGTAAGATACACGATTATATCGCCATGTTTAAGCGTCGACATGACTAATGCTTGTCGCATATAAAACACTACAGGTGTAAATTTCATTTTTATCTGTGTTCATTTTTTTTTTTTTTTTTTTATTTAGCATTGTATCAATCAATCGTCGATCGAATATCAAAATATCAAAAACTCATTGTGGTTAAATTATATACGGTTTTTGCAACGATATTATTGGTTGGATCTGTTATCGTGTAAAAATAATTGTTTTTTTAAATATTGATTTTTATTTTTTTTTTTTATTTTTTTTTTTTAACGAGAAAACACGGACTTCATTGATTAAATCTTAACCATGTTTGCAAAAGCAGTAATGCTTCTGCAACGAGCTCATTAATACAAGTCCACAAATGAAGAGGAAGCAACTGTGTTCTTGTTTGTCATCTTCTCTTCACGATACTTTCTATGCAATTATGTTAAAAAATATATTATTGATTCTTTTTTTTCTATCTTTTCTTTATAATGCCATTTTTTTTCATCTAATGCATAATATATTTTTCGATAACAAAATTATAAGAATACTCGTTCCTTCCACTGTTATTCTCGCAATTTCACAATCCAAGACGCCATATACTCTTTCGTAATTCTCTCTCTCTCTTTCTCTCGACTTCAATCAATTTCTTAAATCTCAATCATATAAATTTCATAATCGAAAATACCAAACGTATATTTTCTACATCTTCTACAGACTTTTGTTCAACAAAAGAGAATGAGATTCTAAAAAACAAAAAAAAAAAAAGATATAAAAATAAATAAAAAATAAGTAGAATAAAATTTCAACCTTTTTGTTTCTCTTAAAAAGAGATCGAAAAATGTCACATTTTTTTATTTATCTTCCAATTATTCATTTCTAAAATTCACTTGTACTTCGAAAATTTTCGAATTTGATTTCCTCCATCAGAAGAACAAAGTCTGAAACAGCTTTATTCCACATTATCGAAATATTTTTTTTTCTTTTCACATGAAATCACACATGTCAGGAAAAGAGTTTTTCCTGACAACGAAAAATATTGGGGAAACACTGGAACAGGGGGAATGCGTGGCGAAGGCGATAGCAAGCGTTTCAATGGCAAGGTTTTCCCGCAGCAACGTCGATTTGCCCGTTCGAGGCTATTGCCTTCTCGCGTCGTTAGACAAACCATCTACACAGAGCGTTACACACGCGCATATATACGGCCAGGTAGTGTTCTGGCGCACCTTCTCACACGATACTATCTACTTAATTATAGCCAGGTTCATTTGTAACGACGAATCTGAATTCCCGGTTGCCAAGGAAATTCCTCGTTCTGCCTGCCTGGCCCCGTGTTGGCCTGCTGTGAAATCAACGGGGCTGGCATTCTGGCTTCATTATACCGGATCAAAGTAAGAATGTTACTCGCGTGCAAGTTATCAAGTTTGTTCTATGGAGCTAGGATGCAGTAATGTATCTGTTAAGTAGGTATGGATAATATCTAATTAATAACTCGTGGTCGTTTAGAAAAATTTAGAAAACGGATGTTACAAATTATTTTCAATATAGTGATGATGATAAACGTAAATGGATACGTACGCTTAATATGGATACAGTAAAATATAAGAAACAAACACAGTTGCAGTGTATAGTATCTGTGAAAAATGTTTGAAATAAAGGATTCTTTTACTATTTCGTAATATTTCCTGCAAAATTAATGGATTTTTGCAACTATTGATAGAAACGTGTTAAAATAGTGTACGAGTAAATAATAAAAAATGAAATATAGCGTATTTCTATAATATATTTTCAAAATATATACTTATTCAAGTTCATTAACTTTAAAATTTTAAAAAATATTTATTAATAAGATTTTCAAATTAAATTATCTCATATTTTTCTGGAGTAAAATATTATAAAAAAAGGATACATTTTTGAATATATTTTTATATATTGTATAAATTCTATAATTTTTTGTTGCATTTGAATTTCTTTATAAAAATAAAAATGTTATATGTAGTTGTAATTCTTCGAAATTATATAATGTGTAATATATTTAATAATAACTTTCTTACATCGCTATAGATTTTTTTTTTTTTTTTCACAAATTGTACGATTCATAAAACAGAAAAATCTGGAGGATAATTAAAAACGTGAGAAGAGGAAAACAATAAGAACAAGAAAGAAAGATATTAGTTTCTTCTCCTGCGTGTAATTAATCTATTAACTCTGAAGGAAAATGAGTAAATTCATTATCTCTGGATCGCCGGTAATTTGGATGTATTTCCGCCTCGTAATTTCCTGGCAACAAGCAGGGAACGAAAGGAAGAATAAACATTTTTCCGATCTGAAACGCTTACGTGTTCCTGAAATAGACTCATTGTTACAAAATACGATAAGAGATACACGAATTAAAAATGTTTCATTCTTCGTTATATTTCCTGCCTTTAACACTCGTGTTTTCTACGGCATATTTCTCAAATGACCGTGTCGATTCCTATCTGGTCCCGGTTACGTTTGTACCGATACTAATTTATTACAATGGCAGAACGGTAGCATAATAATTATGCAGATAATTGAAATGCCGATTAGAAAAGTGGAATGGCCAGGTTTCTTTTCAAATGGAAAAATACGTCCATTGTTCATTTCATCCGTAAGATTTGTAGAATGTCTATGAGAAATATTGTTATTCGAGTTTTTATGGTCTTTTTTATTTCTCGTTTGATTTATTTTCCTCTTTTATTTCTTTCTTTCCTTCAAAGGATAGAAGTTGAATTTTGAACTTAATCCAAAATGGACTAATATTCTTGCATTCTTTGTAATATCAAATATTGAATTTATTAAAATTGCACGAATTTTAAATTATTTTAGTACACGTACAATTAATATCTAAAAAAAAAAAAAAAAACAAATTACAACTTAAAAATATTTTCTCGATATACAATTGTTATTTTAAAATCAAAATCAACCTCGTTATTTCCATAATTATTTCCATAATTATATTTCGTATATTTTTTCGCAAAATGATGGCCAAGTATTTACGATGATGTAAAAATGACGTAAAAATCTCCCCTTCTCCCCCCCCCAAAAAAAAAGAAAAGAAAGAGAGAAAAAGAAAA